TCCTGCACCTTGGCAGCTAACAAGGAGGATCAAGGGACACAGCACACCACTACATATCCATGATTTTAGTTACCCAGCGCAAGAACCGGGACAGTTTGGTATAGACACCATATTTGCCTTTCCTTGCACATCCTTCGCCCCAGCTAACAATTCCAGTAACAAAATAAGTATCCTTATATCTGGTCACATGGGGGCCACCACTGTCTCCTTGGCAGGCATCTTTTTCCTCAGTGTCATAACCAGCACAGAACATGTTCTCAGTTAGTGCAAAGTAAGTGGACTGTTTGCAAGTGTTCCTATTAACATAGGGGAGTTCAAGGACCTTCAGTTTCTTTGGGAGCTGTCCACCATCATATTCCCGCCCAAAGCCGCTAACCCTCCCGGATTTCTGCTTCATCAGAACTTCATTAGCAAAGTCAGCTTTGGGGAGACATGCTGCGATGACGTACTCTGAAAACTTGATTGGTTCCTTCAGCTTTAATAAAGCAATGTCATTATCGTATGTCTCAGCATCAAATTTGGAGTGAACGAATATTTTGTCCACAGTGTGCATTGATTCAGACGGCTCTTTCTTCTCTCTGTCCACTTCACCTGCACAAGAGCATTAAAAGGATCATTAATGTAGAGAAAGTATAAGAATTTCAGAACAAGCTTGACAGAGGAAGAGAGTAGAATATTGATTCTGAGTAAGTGCAAAGATGAGACTGTGTTGATCCTGATGATCCGGGCTCAAAAAGGGAAACAATGATAAATCTGAGGGGGTTTTTTTTCTACTCTATTCAATGAGTCATAGGTTTCCTGAGGGTTCCTGCAAGAACTAATCTGGATGCTTCTGAAGTGCCAGGAATGATGAGCTTCCTGCAGAAGCACTGCCCTGCTGAACACATTGATAACCAATATTTCTAGAATATTTGACTGCAACCACTTCCAGCTAGCTGGTAGAGAAGAAAGAGAGGCACCTGTTGTCACAAAGAAGGATGGTCAGAATAATGAGAAATTATAAAAAGCAGCAAAACGGCAGCAAATCTTAATGAATCATGTGTACATCTCCTGGGAAACTTAAGGCACAGAATGTTAGGCACTACAGATACTCTCACCTCCGAGGATTAAAAGAAATAATCACTCACCAACAACAACTTTGATTTCTTTGGATTGGTTTATGCAATGAGCTGCAGTAAGTATGAAATTTTCATTCAGAATCGTTCCACCACAAAACTCTTCTCCTTCCTCGTTTAACAGAACGGCCTGTGAAGCAAAATATGAAAGGGCAGAAGAAGGAAGTGCAGTTTAATGTCAACAAGCTATAATGAGGTATCTAATTTCTCTGCACACTACAGAGATGCTTCATACTGCAACATGTATGTGTCCCTCCCCGTCTCTCCTAGCATTGCATTCCTGCATGCAGAGGCTGCAGATTGACTTCTACTGCTACAGAGTCTAGATTGTCTTTATATCAAGTTAACATTTGGCTTCCACATTACCTCACTCCCACTGTTGAGTAACGTCCCTCAGGCACTGACTGACTGAGCAGGCTGAGTGCAGATTCCAGATCACCCCATCCCTTGGACTTACCCCCCAAACAATGTGCAAATACAGGAATTCATTTTGGTTGGCTCAATCTCAAGAGTAAAACTCTAATACGAGGCCCAACTCAAGAGTAAAACTCTGATACAAGGCCCAAACTCGAGGGTGAAACTGAGACACGAGGGTGTATTTCTGAACCTAAACGCTGGCTTTATCTGCTTTATCACCCTGCCCTCAGGAGTGCTCCCTGAGTGGACGGTCTCAGACAGAACCAAAATGTAACTTGCAAAAATGGCCTGGAAATCACCCTGAAGTGCTCTCTGACCATAGGGTAGACAGTTCCATCTAAAATGGCTGTGACCCCGTGAAGCTGCAGTTTGCAGAACAGCACATCCAAGTGCCCAGGGTCACACAGTTCAGCCACGTCTCGCTGCTGCTGGCACATGACATGGGTCACGTTCAGAAGGCTCCCAGCTGGAAGGAGCCACTGCTCCCCTTCCCTCAGAGACACCCTCTGCCCACATGCAGGGCAAAGCACCCTCCACTCACCTGCCATGGGCACTGGCCAGGAAGACACTCATCCCCACCAACTATCCTGGTATCAACATACGGAGTCTTGCTGCTGGTTCTGTTGTCAGGTGCAGGCGTTGGGCTTTCTGTGGTAATTGCAAAGTACTCCTCTGTGCTCATTTCATTTGCAGCAGGGTCTTCTTGATCATTCATTCTACTGCTATGGTCAGTGGGTGAAAGAACAGACCTTTTTTTCCTCACCACAGAAACTTTTCCACAAGGGTATTTTACTGTAAAGAGAAGAACGCTAAAATTAAAGGTGGAGGGAAACACCAACACAAGAAGAAACTCCTTGGAAATACCATCTCACAATATATAGTGCTTCTTCCTCATTTTCCAGACAATACAAAAGACTTGGCACATGGAACCAAGGAAGAAAGACCATATGGTTTGAATAATGAGTGGTATTTTCTCATCATGAAGGCTCTCCTTCAGCTTCCATCTCACAATCATGTTTTGAAAGTATCTAAAATTTAATGCACCATCTTCAATTTGTTTTTAACAAATTTAATACATCATATTCAATTATTTACTTTGATATATTCATGTAATTCCTCTTAATAAAATGTACTTAATTTGGGAACTGAGTGAAATGATTTATTTTAGGAATAATACGGCCAATGACAGCAATTTGTTATTAGTTCTAAAGTATATAAAACCTGACATGATATCTAAATGGTTGACTCACCCCTCCCCTGTGGCACTTTGAAATACAATACAATTGTACATATGTGCATAGTGCTAATCATAATTATCCAATCGCTTCGATTACAAATTGATAAGGTTCACTGCAATTTAAGTATAAATTTTTGCAAGCTGCCCTTTCATATGACCTATAAGTGTTTAAGCAAAGATCCTGCTGTGATCATTTTTCTCAGCATGGCCTCACCTTGAGTCTCGTGTACAGTTTTTGGCATCTAAATATAAGAAAGATATAAAGCTCTTAAAGAGCATCCAAACGAGGGCAACAGAGATGGTGAAGGGCCTTGAGGGGAAGCCATATGAGGAGTGGCTGAGGTCACTTGGTCTGTTCAGCCTGGAGGAGACTGAGGGGAGACCTCATTGTGGTCTGCCACTTTCTCCTGAGGGGAAGAGGAGGGGCAGGCACTGATCTCTTCTCTGTGGTGACCAGGACAGAGAATCACGGCATCACACAATCCTTTAGGTTGGAAAAGACCTCCAAGATCATCGAACTCAACCTTTGACAGATTAGCACCTTGTTAATCAGACCATAGCTCTAAGTGCCACATTCATTTCTTTCTTGAAAACCTCCAGGCATGGTGACCCCACCACTACCCTTGGCAGTCCATCCCAGTGCTGGACAGCCCTTTCCATGAAGAAACCCGAGAGAATGGCAGGAAGCTGTGTCAGGGGAGGTTTAGGTTCGATATTAGAAAAAGGTTCTTCACACGCCTTTTTTTACGGGAAGATGAAGTAATACATAGCGGTCAGAATCTACATAACAGTGAATCCTGTAAAACCAGATAGGACATTTCTATATTGCAACTACTGGCTAAAATCCATCAACTTTTATTTCCTTAAAGGTCATCTCAGGCCTTCTAAATATCTTTGGCCTGCTGAGCTGTTAATTTAAAGACACAGATACTGGCATATTAAACAGTAGATAATAACTCCCAAACTTTACAAAACCCTGCTAAATTCACATGAGCAGGCCAAAATTATATTCTACTGCTTAGAGTGCCAAAATTTTCTCACTGTATCCATCAAGATATGAGCTTGAGCTTGTAGTTATTACCTCTTACCTCACACTGCCCACATCTATGCTGGCATCTCGAGTTCTGCAGCCTTTCTTCCTTCCCTGGACACAACTGGCTGATCTGGGCCGCAGCCACACATACCTCATAAACTCAGTTACATGGAGGACAGGGAGGTAACTTGGCATTTTGAGAGACATTTCATGTAGCAGCTCTTTTTGCTACCCATCTCATTCCTTTTCTGGTGCTCACTGACATGGACCTTCCCATTTAGTGCTCTGCTGCAAAAAATGTGTTCCCTCCTCACATATATTCTCTGGGATGCACTGTTTCATACAAGAAGTAGAATATCCAGAAAAGTGACACTTGTTCAAGAATTCATTGCTTCAGACAAGACAAATTTCAAATTTCTAAATTTGACCACCTGTTCTGCCCCTGTTTGGAGCAGGGTCAGAATAGGTGGGTCAATTTATTTTATTAAGTACAGTTATGATGTATTTGTGAAGAATTAGAAAATCACAGTGACATATGGGGTAGAAATCTCATTCTCCTCTACACTGTTAAATATTGTGGGGTTCATTTTGTCCCTCAGAGGTTTACAAATGGATAGTAAGGGTTATTTAATTATCATTCTCCTGAGAATATGAGAAATAGCCCATTAATTGTGCTGAGCCTTTGAAAACACTACATATCAACATACTGACCCCATAATTTACACTGACACAATTGGCACTCCAAAATGGAATTCCCCATGTGCCTCAGCCCTGGATATCATTGCACTGCAGCTGGCCAAGTGGAGCAAGGTGGGTGAGACGGCAGAGCTACCGGGTGTTCACTCATGTCCCCTGCCCCACAAAGAAAACAATTGGCAACTACCTGTGTGGCTTAGGCAAAGCAGCACAAAGCCAAGCTGAAGCAAACACTCTACCTGTCTGCCTCATCTGAAGGAAGAGGAGGACAACGGGAAGAAGCCGCATTGTCCCGCGGTCACCCGCCATGCCTGTGCTCCGAGCTCACCGCGCGTCACCGCTGCGTGCTCTGCAGGCTCTGGGGCAGCTGCTCAATGAGAAACACCACAGAGCAAAGGTCAGGCACTCATGAGAAAACAGAACCTCTGAGAGCAAAGTCTGAGAGCAATGTCACCATGGCACGGTGTTAAGGCACAAAACTTGTGAGTGTGCTGCAGCAATGCCACACTGACAGCTTTGTGCTGGTAGAGCTTTCCTCTAGGAGGCTTTCCTCTAGAAACTTTGACAGAGCTTCTCTGAAGCAGCTGGGCTGTGCAGACAGCCAGGAGCCACAGTAGGTGATGTGGTTCTTGCCCCTGTCCCAAGGAAGGCAGACAACCAGAACCAGAGCTTTGTGCCTCCTGTACACTGGGCTGAAGCAGGAAAGCACCCAGAAGAGAGGAGCGAATCAGGGCACAAAGATTGCAGGTCTCAGTGAGCACATTGCAAAGTTGTTACCCACCAGCTCCGTCACAAGCACACTTGGACAGAGCACACTTCCCCAGATTAACCAATTTCCATCTTTTTATGAAAGCTGGGGAGTTATGGGTTTTATGTGCTGTTTCCTTTTGTTCAAACCACTCCATGGAGACTGCTCTTGACAGGCCAGTGTGGTCTGGGAATCAGGCTATGGAAGACAATCCTGCCAGGTGAGTCACTGCTGCCAGGGAGCAGTACACAGGAAGCTTGTTCTCACCATGCCAGTGCAGGGCACAAAGGCATGGTCCTAAAAGTGACACTCTGCTTGTGCTGCTCACCTGGAAACACAGAAAACAGGGGCTGGAGAGACCTACAGGCTCACCCAGCCCAACCTACTGAGCCAACAGGGGATCAAATCGACCTCTGTGATATTTTGGCATATTGGCCAAGGCTCCAGGGAAGAAGGGATGCAGACAGTTGCTTCCTGTTGGACACTGAGCCTGCTGCAATGTGTTTTCCTCCCATACTGTAGGATGCCATAACAAAGGGCAGCTAGTCCACTTTTATTCCTTAGGGCAGCCTCCATCCTGCTGCACATCTGACACCTACTTACATCTCCCACTCTGGAAGAAAACCAGCATCACTGCCCTCCTGGGAATAGCTACTGCAGGGCTTCTCTAGTCACAGGGCTTACTCACCATCCTTCTTTTCTTCCCTTAAGGCTCAGGACTGGCTTTTCCTTGAAGGCAGAAGAAGCCTGAGCACTACACAATAGCTCAGAGCCTCTCTGTCCACCATCCTTGCTACATGACAGCTGTTGCCTAAGCCAGCTCTGTCTGCTTGCCAGGAGGAATTCTGGTATCTCCAAACCCACCAGTTTACTCAGAGCTGTGTGCTGTGTCCCTTTCCTGGATTTTGCAATCTGTTCAATTCTGTTATGTGAAATCATTCCCAAATCATTTGTCAAAGATTAACCAATTTCCATCTTATTATGAATGGTGGGGGGGTTATTGTTTGAAAGCAAACCAATGGGAGATCCTAAGACAGAAATACAATTTAATAGGAAAATTAGAACAAATGCAATTATACAGAAACACTGACAGAGTCAAAATACAACCTGGCATCCAGTTAGTCTGGGTGTTGGTAGCAGTCAAATTAACTGCTGGCTGAAGTACTCTTGAAGTGATAGGTGTGGTTCTGTTGAAGCAGTGATCCTGTAGAAGGGTTTGTTCTTCCTCTGAAAGTCCAGTGATGGTTATAGAACTCTGGTCCTCAGGGAATTCAGTGGATAAGGCTGACTGTGACTGTTACAAGTGTCAGACTATATGCGGGTAGGAATGCTTGGTTCCTCCCCTGGGTGGAGCATCGCACAATGGGATGAGGTAATTTTATCAGTCATGCAGTGCCACTCAGTGGCCCATTAACAAAAGATATCCCCTGGAGTTATCAAGGATGAGTAATGAGAGAGAGGAGGAACACTACCCCATGTAGTTTTAACAGCTCACAAAGATGTTGATAGAATACATAATTTTGGGCACATCTCATATTGTAACCTAAAACAGAGGGTTATGGGTTTTATGTTCTGTTTCCTTTTGTTCAAACCACTCCATGGAGACTGCTCTTGACAGGCCAGTGTGGTCTGGGAATCAGGCTATGGAAGACAATCCTGCCAGGTGAGTCACTGCTGCCAGGGAGCAGTACACAGGAAGCTTGTTCTCACCATGCCAGTGCAGGGCACAAAGGCATGGTCCTAAAAGTGACACTCTGCTTGTGCTGCTCACCTGGAAACACAGAAAACAGGGGCTGGAGAGACCTACAGGCTCACCCAGCCCAACCTACTGAGCCAACAGGGGATCAAATCGACCTCTGTGATATTTTGGCATATTGGCCAAGGCTCCAGGGAAGAAGGGATGCAGACAGTTGCTTCCTGTTGGACACTGAGCCTGCTGCAATGTGTTTTCCTCCCATACTGTAGGATGCCATAACAAAGGGCAGCTAGTCCACTTTTATTCCTTAGGGCAGCCTCCATCCTGCTGCACATCTGACACCTACTTACATCTCCCACTCTGGAAGAAAACCAGCATCACTGCCCTCCTGGGAATAGCTACTGCAGGGCTTCTCTAGTCACAGGGCTTACTCACCATCCTTCTTTTCTTCCCTTAAGGCTCAGGACTGGCTTTTCCTTGAAGGCAGAAGAAGCCTGAGCACTACACAATAGCTCAGAGCCTCTCTGTCCACCATCCTTGCTACATGACAGCTGTTGCCTAAGCCAGCTCTGTCTGCTTGCCAGGAGGAATTCTGGTATCTCCAA